GGAGTGGTCGTGACCTGGGTGGTCTATAATACTCACTACGAGCCTGAACAAACAATACTAGTACTTCATGGTTATCTAGTGGAACCCTTCATTTGAAGGAGACTGGACGTAACTCAATATGAGTGAACCATTATAAAAATACTTGCACCATGCTTTAATGTTTTAGACGCACTTTGTCTGATTGATCTTAATTATCAAAAATTTTGTCCAATGATAATCGTCTATTAAAACATCTTCAGAAGAAAACCATACTTGTTTAAATTGTGACCTTAAAGAACGGTTTTCATTTAAAAGAGCATTTTATCTAAACAAACGATGAAAATCCCAGACTGAAAATGATTTTGTTAAACCAACACTAGGTAGTTTCTGTTCAGCTTTCGCTAATATTATTTTACTGGAAGAAAGAGAGTCTTATCGCGAAAAGATGTTAGAAATTCCTTTGTTCACATACACACACATATTCAACCCCCCTTCTATGTGTTTTTCATCTAACTTCAGAATTTTTTCAAACACGAGTTTAAAAACAAGTACTACCCATTATTATACCTTATTTTAAGTGAATTTGTTCTACATTTAGTTTTCATCAACAATAATGGATTTAGATGTTTATACCATATTATCCTTATTGGATGATGAACTTGTTGCACATCTTCCAACATTTCTCTTTTGTGCCTATACACACACACACATATATATATTAAGAAGAATGTTAAAATTTTGGAAATATTGATTAATGTGACACCCTTTACCCTATATGTCATAATATATAATTAATGAAATATAACTAAATAGCATCATCTCTTTTAAATAAAACCAAACTCATTCAAGTAGAAAGTATCACATTTTTAACTAACCAAAATAAAATAACCAATAAAATTGCAAGGAAATAAAACTAATATTTTCCAAAATAATTCAACAGAACAACATTCTAATCTAATCCTAGATACACCTCGATGTCACATGTTCTATCAAAGCAAAATCCAACACTGATGCCTAAGTCTCATTACCAATATCTTTACCTGCATATTGATGGTCACCGGTATAACAACCAAGGGAAAACAACATAAAAGAAAGTGAGATTATAATGCATATGCAATAGACATGGACTACATGTTATCATGCATGTGGCGCCAGTAAAACTCACACATCACACTTGTGCATTATCGCTAGCAATACATGTAGAGTAGTCTAGGAGTACATGTTGCGTCAAACCCTTTGTGCACTTTCACTAGAAGGACACAGTATCAAGGTTTGGTCGAGATGACTAAATTGTGCAAGATACATCCTATGCTCACAAAAGTAGGACTAAGACTTCTGAATCGAATTATTCCCAAGGTTGTTTTCCAGGCTTTTACACAAGGGATCTTCCCTGATGGTGTATTCCATATTGTACCCTTAAAAACACTTTTATACATATATATTCACATGATCTCACTTAACATAACACATATTCCTCAAATCACATCATATTCACATGATCTCATTTCACATAACACATATTCCTCAAATCACATCATAGATCTCATGTACATTCCCAAATACATTAGTTAATCATTAGTAAAAGGTAGTACCAAGATCACAAGGTAATACATCATCCAATTCATACATGATGCATACACAAATATCATATATTACATCTAAAAATGATAAATATGACTTATCTCAAGTAATAAAGGTCAAAAAAGAAGAAAAAAAAAAGAGAAAAGAATGAGAAACATTTGCATTAGCATGAGTCACAACCGTGACTCATGGATCACAACTATGACGTTGATCAGGCTTGTTACTAATCGGTCATACCTGTGACTAGCTCGGTGAAATCCAAAGGGTCAAAATTCAATAGTCATGACCATGACTCACCGGTCAGATCCATGACTCGTCAATCATGCCCATGACTCACTAGTCACACCCGTGACAGAACCTGATCACGATATTTTTGACTCTTGGGACCCCAAAACTCGTCTAATCACCATAATTCATAAAAAAAAGAAAGAACATCTAATCGGTAAAAACATTGCAAATCATGTAATAAACATTTAAACAACACAATTCATGTATACAATTACATACTCAAGTAATCTCCTCATACAATTATCAATGTATTCCCTTAGGGTTTGCCATGGGGACCCACAAAGACTTCAAATCATACAATTACAATCTAAAACCTATAATTAATTAATCATTCAAACAATTCATATCATTAGGAATGTGTAAAAAGAACAAGAGGCAAACATTTGAGAAAACCCCTCATGCATAAACATATATACAATATACATAGGATTGAGGGTCAATCCCACTATCCAACATGCAAACCCACACCCAAAATAAGGTTTCTCACTCTCTTTTATCTTGATAAGCACTAGACAATGGATACACAACTCTAGGGTGATTTCCTTCTTACTCCTATTCTTCAAGCTCTGAAGCGTGAATGCGTGCACAAAAAAAAAAGTGTAACAATTGATCAGAAACCCTTCTTTTCAAAATCTTAACCTCCATTTAACCTCACAGTTAAAAGAATTAACTATAGTTATAAATTTTCTTCCTCTCATTTAAATTAATTAAAACATTTAACAAAACACTTTATATTATATTCCAAAATATATTAAATAATTAAATAAATATTTAACAACCTCTATTGATAAAATAAAATTCCAAAAATTATTAATAAAATGTTTATCTTATATTTTATGAAAAACAAGGTATTACTATCAACATATTCATCTTTTTTATTTTTTTTTTATAATTATATAACAATTTTATTTTAAGAGAATTCATGTTTATCTATCATTGGAAGATCTCTCAAATTCATTATAGAAACCTTGATAGTGTGTTTAGATGAGAAATTTTACAAATTCAAGAAATTTTAAATTCTTAGCATTTGAATTACTTCGATTTCAATTTCTATCATTCTTAAAATATTTTGTTTGGATAAGTCAATTCAAATTTCTTAAATTTTAAATTATTAGGTTGAATATGATAATTTGATTCCATCATAGTAAAATTAATTTTAAAAACATATTTATATGTTGAGATTTTTAAATTATATTTTATAAAAATAAATATTGATCCATTTTTAAATATTTAATAATTTTAAAATTAATATTAGATAATATTTAATAATTTTAAAAATATTTTTGAATAATCAATAATTAAAAGAATGAAGAGATAAGATAAAATATATAGGTGAAATAAGAAAAATAAATATGAGAAATTTCAAATTCTTGCTTTTTTGGGAGAATTTGAAATTCTACTATTTTAAGGAATTTTAAAAATGTTTGGATTTCAAATTCTTTGTAAATTCACCATCCAAACAAAGAATTTCACCTCAAGGAATTTGAAATTCTTCAAATATATGAATTACCCTATATAAATTCCCCATCCAAACACACCATGAGTATATAAGTGAACTTTTTTTGTTGTAATATTCTCACCCTTGTGGATTAAGCATCTATACGCCATACCTTGTAAAGAGCGTGGAGATTTTGTAAGAAAAAAAAAATACTTGAGTTGCTTTAATCTCATGTTGAGATTATTTGTGTAAAACCTAAAAGAAGTTAAAAGAATACTTGATATACACTTGCTAAGTTAGTGGAAGTCTTCCCGTATTGAAGGGATTGGAGATATCTCTAACTTGTATATGTCATATTTTTCTTTTCTTTTCTTGTATTTTATAGATGAATCTTAGATATAAAATTTGGATCAAATTAATCAATTTAATAATACTAAAAAAGGAATGAAAAACATAAGATATTTTCCATTTTTTTCAAGTATATTTTTCGTATACAATTCCGTTTGAAACATTATTGGATACAAAATGTGACATCTCAATATAAAGAATTAAACCTCAATTCATCATGTTGTGGGAGATTTGCTCTTTTTCTATAACATTCCGACCTTAACTCACCACGCACACAACACAAGATAAAGAAACTCATTTAAATCCAATTGAATGATTTGTTTCTTTAGGGACAAATTATGAATTAGAACATAATAACAATAAAAACATATTGTATAGGAAAATAATAAATAATTATTCCCCCAAAAAGTTAAGGATAAATTTAATTTAATTATATAATTAATAAAAAAAATTATTATCTTATCAAATAAGAATATTCATTTTATAGATTTCTTAATTAAATAATTATAATATGAATAGTGAAGAAATTTACACAAAGAAAGTTTGCTCTCTAATTATACCAAACAGAAAATTTGTAATGAAAAAATCCTTCTCTAAAATTTTTTTTCACTAATTATACTATTAAATGTAAAATATAATTAATAAAATATTTGTCTTTATCTAGATATTTTATTTTCATATTTTCTATTATCTATATATTGAAAAACCTCCAGATTAATATTGCACATTTATTCCATCAAAGGAAAGTTATTATTTATTTGGTTTTATTCTATTATATAATTTAGCATTAGTAAATGGAATAAATTATGCTTTTATCCTCTTTATTATATATATATAAAAAAAACTAAACAATGCAATTACTAAAGCTAATGGTTCTTATATATGTTTGTTTAAGGCTTTAGGTTTTTGGTTCAAACCCCCTCTATGAACATTTTTTTTTTATCAATTACTAAACTATGAATTTCCTTGTCACATCAACAGCATGTGTTCTAGCAATGAGGAAAAGTGCAAATAAGCCACAAGTATCAAATTTAAAATAGTGTGTCAATCAAAAAAAAAAAACAAAAAGAAGTACAAACTGGTAAAGAAAAATGATAAAAATAAATAAATAAATTTTTGAGATAAGCACAAGCTCAAGCAACTAGAAAAAAAATTAATTCCAATTAATTTCAATCTTTTGGATAATAAAACTTTTGATGCATACAAGCCCAATTAACATTCTTTCAAATAGTATCATATTAAAAATTCACTTGCACCATTTATTAATTTTGGAGTAGTTTTCGAACAATCAAAATTTTCATTGACTTAGACGAAGGAATTCAGCAAATTGTCTAAATTCAAAATAAAAAATTTGAAGAAAATTGGATATATAAAAATAAGATGCCTTTTTATTCAAACACATGTAGAACTATGTGCAACACTATAGTCCCTCAAACATAAAACTTAGATACAACCTAAAGGAAATACACTTCACCATCACAAGATGAAGATTACTCAAAACAAGGAAAACCTGAAACGTAACCTAGCTAATTAGTCCTAACCATGTCCCACACATGAAACTAGCTAAGCCAATGCTCACTTTGAACGAAAATTAAACAACATAAACTTAAAATTTAAATAACTGAATAAGGCATCATCAACAAAGGATCTTTTCTAAGACAATCAAAAGAACCCAAAAGTAGGTCCAGGTCCATGTCCATGTCCTTGTTCATGTCCATCTCTGAACATGTTGTTAAATCGACGGTTGCGCGTGACGCTCCCATCAATCACATGGTTCCTCAAAAATGGTTGTGGGCATACATTCATAGTGTCATTAACATTGGAAGAGGAACCTCCACCTGCAAAAAAATGAGGAGAGTTATAAGTGCTCTCATCGAGTAACTTTTCTTTTTTCTCATCAATACGTGTCTTCAAATTCAACAATGCAATCTTGAACTTTTCAAGCTGGGCTTTGTTCATGTTTTCAATTGGTGTGGCCCACCAAAAGTGATTCTCCGCAGTCTTCAGCAAACGACTCAGTTCCTCCTCCCGTTTCTTCTCTGCAGCAAACTGGTTGGATAGATAGCCAAGGTGTGCATGGAGCTCACGCTCATCCACAGTGAGGTGGGCCAAGCTAGTAAGGGGAGGAGCAACCCTCCCCGTATAACGTTGGATGACGGAATCCACGTTGGGGGTGCCAAAGGAGAAAACTCTTTCACCACGTGAGAACACGATAACAGCAAGGTCCACTCCACAAAGGGTTGCGAGCTCACTTGCTTTCTTGAAGACCCCATTGCGACGCTTTGAGAATGTCACTTGAAGGTTCCGCTCATTCGTCATCTTTTTCATCTCGATCTTTTGCCGTCCTCTCGTCTTCTTTACGATAGCGCTCATGTTCGTCACTTTTTTTGAATCCATAAGCTGTATGTTATGTTTTCGTATTATATGAATTTCAGGTGTGACTTTGAGAAAAATGGTTGTGTTCAATATATATATAGACTCACTCGAAGTTTGGTTTAGCAAAGCAAGCACAACTCTATGAACTCACTAGCAAGTGTTGTTTATGCTTTAAATATATATATATATATATATATA